TTTGAGAAAAGCCGGAAAAGAGCTTCTCCACTGGCCCCGATCCTCCGGAAAAAGCGCCCTTTTCCGGAGGCTCTTATTCCTACTTCAAAGTGACACACATATAAAGAAAAGTGACTTCAAAGTAGGAATAAGAGCCTCCGGAAAAGGGCGCTTTTTCCGGAGGATCGGGGCCAGTGTAGACGCTCTTTTCCGGCTTTTCTAAAAGCCGGAAAAAAGCGGCGGACATTTTTATTTAAATGCCGCGGGGGATATTTAAATCCCCCGCGGATTTACCTACTACGATAGCTGAAATTAACATGCCCCTTCCGGAAAAGGGGCCAGTGTAGACGAGCCCTAAATGTATGCATTCTTATTCTTCATGCCATCATAATGGATTGCCTTCACAAACAAACCTATGCCAGCCCATAAATCAGTGATGGGCAACCTAGGATAGCAAGTGGGCTGCATGAGTGGCCCTCCTTCATCTCAGTGGATCACAAGATTGTTATAAACAAGTCTGCCAGGACAGAATAGTTTTCCTAACTGCGCTTGCATACCTAGAATTTGTGGGGTATGACGATTGAACTGTAGCAGTGCCTTGATTGGATGCAGAGGGAACACATGCCTTTCACAGTCAAAGTGTGTAATCAACATGCACCTCACTTCATGAGTCTTTGCTTTACATGTGTGTCACTTTAGGAAAAAAACCTATCCACATTGAAACCAGCAGAATCTGGCAACCCAGTGCTTGGGCAATGTTAAACAAAATGTCTTGTGGGCCACACATAGTACCTCCATGGGCCGAAGATTGCCTGCCACTGTATATTCTAGGCTGCCTCATTTATTGCCATAAAATACACAGCTCTAGAGTTTGCAGTAATTTACAAAAGCATTACCTGGTAGCTTTCTGGCCATATACTGGTGGAGCACAGAGCACTTCCCTACCTCCTATCTCTGGCCCTGTACCTTCTTCTAGAATGGATTTATGACAGGAGCATAATGTGTCTGGCTTATGTTAATACTCTTAATTTGTCCTTCTTGTCTGTATTCATGTATATGCATGTTGCTTCTCCAGGAAGAGTACGAGGATGAAACTCAGCCCGGCATGGAGATCCTGTTCATCCAAGACCTGGCGCTGTTGCTAGTGCAACCACCAGTCAGTTCTCTAGACACAGAGCTACACCGGTTCTGGCTCCGTGAGACAAGCTCAGACTTGTGGGACCACAAGTTGTGATACAGACATGGGCTGATCAGCAGTGGCTACAGAACTTCTGAATGTGCAAAGCCACATTTCTAGAACTTTGTGAATGCCTTTCTCATGCCCTTAGGAGCCAGAACACCCAAATAAGACCCATTCTGTCCATGGAGAAGCATGTGGCAATTGCCCTATGGAAGTTTGTCATGTCAGACAGCTACCAGTCAATGGTGAATCAGTTCAGAGAGGGAATATCTACAGTGGAGACTGCTGTTATACAAGTAGCCAAGGCAATCAATACTGTAGTAAGTGGAGGGTCAGTAACATGGAGTCAGCAGGCCTAAGGCCTATAACATGAAAACAGCAACAGGCCTGCAATCTAGTGAGCAAGACTTTGGTTCAGTAACTCAGATACTCATAACTGTGTAATTGTGTAAGATAGGACACAGGGAGGCACGGAGAACAGACTGCAAGCCGAAAGGGAGTAATGGAACATCTTAAGGAATGTCCTGGTACAAAAACTCCCTAAATATGAATGCACATACCAACCTAGGTTCAGGACCAGGTCGGAATTGACAGCATGAAGGATAGTAAGTAACCCCCCCCTTCCGTAAGGTGAGGGGTGGTATCTAAGCAACAAAGAGTGGTAACCTGGTACGTAAAGAAATGATGTAAGTTGTTTGTACCTGTCTATAAAAGGACACCGCAGAGGGTGCTCTCCAGCCGACCTGAACGCACTAGGCACTAGGTGCCTGAACGCAGGTGTCATTGCCTGAACTTACAGAACGCACAGTAGCTTAACTTTGACTAGCTGCTGTTAATATCTGTTATATGGCAATAGGCCTGCCTGGGGTTGGTACCTTGTCAAAACGGGCCATAGTGCCCAGAGGTGTAACATTGTACTGATCTCTGTTACCAACTGGTAGCACTTCGCATTTGACAATAAACCTGCTCGATTGATTTCAAACCTTGCCTGCATCTGCCGTTGAACGCACTAGGCACTAGGTGCCTGAACGCAGGTGTCATTGCCTGAACTTACAGAACGCACAGTAGCTTAACTTTGACTAGCTGCTGTTAATATCTGTTATATGGCAATAGGCCTGCCTGGGGTTGGTACCTTGTCAAAACGGGCCATAGTGCCCAGAGGTGTAACATTGTACTGATCTCTGTTACCAACTGGTAGCACTTCGCATTTGACAATAAACCTGCTCGATTGATTTCAAACCTTGCCTGCATCTGCCGTTTCCGGGGCCTCTCAGAGATCTCCTGTGTTGACCCAAGTGCACAGGGTCTAATACTCTAGATAAAGGGAGTACCTATTGTTACGCACACAGCCAAAAGTTTATCACCACCAATGGAGTAGAGGTCCTGTTAGGAGCGCGCCAGGACGACCCTGACCAGACGACGCTGACACTGACAGTCCAGACCACTGAAGGTACCGAGGTACGAAAACACCGAGGTACAACAAATACCATTCTGCTACAGAGGATTGTGACTCTGAGAAATGTGGACACCATCATGGATGACTTGCTGCAATGGGGAGCCCTAACTGTGGTGGGGCCATAGACAGAATGCACAGCCCCATCATGGCCCCTGAACACCTTGCCTCAGACTACATCAACCACGAGGGGCACTTCTCCATAGTGCTTGTGGATCACAAAGGCCGTTTCACCGATATCAATGTGGGAGGGTTGGGAAAGGTGCAGGATTAGAACGAGAAGCAATGGGCTTAACTGCAGCAAGGGAGGTTTAGGTTGGACATTAGGAAAAAGTTCCTAACTGTCAGAGTAGTCAAACACTGGAATAAATTGCCCAGGGAGGTTCTGGAATCCCCATCTCTGGGGATATTTAAGAGTAGGTTAGATAAAAGTCTATCAGGGATGGTCTAGACAGTATTTGGTCTCTCGAGGTCCCTTCCAGTCCTAGTATTCTATGATTCTATGTCTAGCAGGGATCATCATCATTAGGAACTCCTGCCTCTTCCAAAAGATGCACCGTGGCACTTTTTTCCTGGGCAGGAAAATCAGAGTCAGAGAGGTGGAAATGCCAAAAGTGATCCTTGGCAACCCAGCCTATCCCTTGCTACCATAGCTCATGAAGCCCTACACGGGTATCCTGGACCCCAGCAATAGCAGTTCAGCTACAGGCTTAGCAAGTGCAGAATGGTGGTTGAATGTGCTTTTAGACATTTAAAGGGCAGGTTTAGGAGTCTCCTGATTCAGCTGGACCTCAACAAACACAACATTCCCTTTGTGGTGGCAGCCTGTTGTGTGCTCCATAATCTGAGAGGGTATGTCTACACTACCCCCCTAGTTCGAACTAGGGGGGTAATGTATGCATACCGAACTTGCTAATAAAGCCCGGGATTTGAATTTCCCGGCTCTGGCAATAGTTTGTGATAGGTAGCAAAGGAAGCAAAATAGCAACATCTCTGTCTTCGTTCAGTACGCTGTGGTCATACTTAGACCATGTATTGCGTCTCGAGGCCTTTACAAACATTAATTCTTGTAGCATCCCTGCGACCTTTCCTGGGGGTACCACGGTTCAAAGGTGCCTGGCTAGCACCTGCCCGTCATGTGAGGAAGTCCTCTCTGTGTCCCTCCTCAACCCACTGGCCCTGGGCAACACAAGCACTCCCCTCCTGGCCTTGCAGGGCCCAGTGTCACTCCATGGGGGTATGTCTACACTACCCCCCTAGTTCGAACTAGGGGGGTAGTGTAAACATACCCAGAGAGAGCAAGGGGGAAACTTATCTAGCAGGGTGGGAAATTGAGGGAGAGTGCCTGGTCAGAGACTTTGAGCAGCTGGACACCAGCACGATAAGGAAAGCACAGCCAGGGTCAGTGCAAATCAGAGAGTCCTTAAGGGACAGTTTTATGCAAGGCCTCTTTTAAGACTCTTCCACATTGCTCTCCACAAGTTGCCCCTGCATTCCCCTTTAATTCCCCTCCAGAACCAGAGTTTTTATTTGGGGAAAAAAGCAGGGAAAGGAAAAAAGTAGTTACCGGAAAGGGAGAGGGGGCACTCAGGAACAAAAATGAGACTGTTCTCTGCCTCTCAAGGACCTGGAGGGTGTGGATACCTTTGAGTTCTTCCCCCACCCCATGTCCTTGGGCCCCAGCAGCCACTGGGGACTCTGAGGGTGGAAGCAACAGGGCTGGGGGAGAAGGAACTGGCAGTGTCATCCAGGGTTCTGAGAGGAGGCCCTCTCCAGCCATAAAGCCAGGTGCTCTATCACTGCAGTCAGGGATGCAAAGGTGTTCTCCTGCTGCTTTGCCTGATGCTCCCTGGCAGCTATTCTCTCCTAGCGTGCAGTGATCTGGCCCAGGCACTCTCCTCCATCTCCTCCATAAGGGAGTGCATGCAGTCCATCAGCTTCCAGAACACGTCTTCTTCCCTTGTCCACTTTAGCCTGCTGATCTGAGCTAGGCAGGCAGATGCTGAAGGAGGGAGAGTATGCTGTCCAAGCTGCAAGGAAAAGTTACAAGAGCAGACTTTACAGCAGATACATTGTGTTAAGCCTAACCCTAATCTGTTAGCCTACAATGAAGGTCTCTGTAAAGACAAAGGAGATGTGCTCTGTGCAAGGCCATGTTTGCTTTAAAGCGGGCACTTTATAGCAGATGCACAGACTTCTCAGGAGACAATCAGGACACACTCAGTGTGGAGGCAGGCAGGTATGGTAAGGGGCTAGCCAGGGCAGGAGACTGCAGGCTGGAGAGGGGGGGCAGGAGAGGGCAGTTCCCCGCTGTGTGCGGCACAGGCAGGGTCCAGTATATGTGGATTCCTGGGGATACTGTCTCTTTTCCTACCAGGTGTGTGTGTGGGGAGGGGGGGAAGATGTGTGTCTGGCACATGTGGCTTCCTGGGGGGAGTGCTAATAATTTTCCCTCTTCCTTCCTCCAGGTTGCCATGCAAGATATCAGTCTTCTCTGAATCACAGAAGGCAATTGGGAGCTGATGCTCACTGAATGCGGCCCTTAACCTAGGCCATATGCTGTAATGCTTTGTGGTTCAATGATGCCAGATGACTTACTGATGGCTTAGCATAGGAAGTGTCCTACCACAGAAGACAGAATAAGGCTGGCCTCCCCAAAACCTTGTGAGAAGAATTAAAAAGTTCCTATGTGAGAGATTTATGGAACTGTGCAGGTAAGACTCCTGCTCCATCTCAGGCACATTAACAAAGCTACATAGGCACAGAGAGCACTTCACATCACACCCCATTGCCGTAACCCATTTTTAGTTAGAAAAAGTTGGTGAACTCGCCAGAACTACCCTTCCCAGGTCAGTGCTGGAATGGGAGACATCCTGGGAGGAGGGGGCCAGCTTCAGCATCATGTCCAGCTCCTGGCTTTTGGGGATCACTAGATGGCTAGTCTCCTCTTCTTCTTACTGCTCCTCTACCACCATGCTGTCCTCCATGGCGCGTTTCGGGCTGGAGTCCCGCTGAGCCATAGCAGCCTGCACTGCTGCCCTAGGGGCCTGGGCCAGGGCGCAGTGGAGTGGGTGGGCCTGCGCCCCCCCTGTCACCCACCGGTTGGGTGGCAGTCTCCCTCCCTCCCCCCTGCTACAGGCGATCTGCCTGCACCCCTTCTGAACAAGGAGCTCCCTGACTGAGTGTTTGTTGCCACGCCCTGAACTGAGGGCCTGGCCCCTGCTTGAAATTGATTGGGTTCGCTTGCGGGCACACCCCGAAAAGCCGGACCACTCCCTGTGAACTAACGGGGCTGGCCTTAAAGGGGCCGCGCTGTGGGGCGGAGTGGCCGCCCACAGAGCTGGAGGAGGAGGAACTCCTCTGGGCAGGCAAACTGACTACAGGCACAAAAATATTGAGGATGTTGTTAATCACATAGGCTAAATACAATGGCAATACAGAGGCAGAATACAATCGCAACTGAACTGTTATCATTGGACAGAGAAAGATACCTGTCAGGATACCACACTGGTGATTACTGACAGCTACAGGTCTAGCTGCATTACTCGGGAAAGTCCACACCTCTGGCTGACAGTTATACTGACCTACTCCCCTGTGTAGACAGCATCATGTTGATGGGAGGGCCTTCCCCATCAACATAACTACCACCTCTTGGAGCAGTCTCAAGACTTTCTCTGATTGGCATCTTTACTATTCCGCACAGTGGACTGTGCAGCAATTGATCCACTGGCCATCAATTTATCATATCAATAGATCAGTCTCCAAGAGTGCTCCCATTAAAACCGGTATTCCACCAAGATGAGAAGAGTAGCTATCATCGATGGGAGAACAGCCCCCGGAGACTTTATTGCACACAAGACACTACAGTGTGTATGTCAACTTCAGCTACACTTCTTGCCTAGATGAAGTAGATTGATGGTACAGTGTAGTGTAGATAAGGCCTAAGAGTGCACTGCTGCAGCATTATAAGTGAAGACAAGCCTTTGGAAATGAGATGAAGGTATTTCCCCTCACTAAGCATCACCAGAAACAGAGAGAGAGAGAGAGAGAGAGAACATTTTTGAAAGCAGGCTTGTGGCTGAGATATTTTCATCTAGAAATGGAGGGCCAGCATCTCAATACAATGCTCTCTGTGGAATACTGAAATCCTCCTAGGACAGAAAAAATGCTGGAGGTAATAGGCAACCTGTATTAATAAAGGGAATTTAGTTAATATAGCAATGTAAAGCTTGAGGTTGTGCCATTATGTTTATTTTCTGTCTAACACGTATATGTTAGCTGTCCTTACTATTTCACATTAATGATTTTTCTATTAAATTAACTTTCTTATTTATTTTTATCTCCTCTTTTATGGAGACAGTGGTACGTGTCTACCAAAATGAACCTAAAAACACGGGGAGAAATTTTCACTCCTTCTACGGCAGTGGTCTCCAACCTTTATAAACATAAGATCATTTTCTGAATTTAAGTCAGTCCAGGATCTACCTCAAACCCAAGTACCCCTGCCCTGCCCCTTCTCCAAGGCTCTACCCTAGCCCCCATCTTTTTGCTGAGGCCCTGTCTTCATTCTGTGAAGATGGAGGACAGAGTGACATCAGCGCCCTCTGCCTCTGTCTCCCCCACCCTGAACAACAAGCAGGAGGCTCCCAGTTGGCAGCTCTGGGCAGGAGCAGCAGGGCAGCAGGGGGAGGGGGAGTTGAAATGCGGGCACTTGATAGCCTCCCAGTCAAACCAGTCAGGGTCACCTGTCAGAGGCTCCAAGATCTACTGGTAGATCCTGATCTACTGGTTGGTGACCACTGTTCTAGGGTGATGAACCAGAGGAAAATCCATATGTCTGGTAGTTAAGAACTCAGGGTGGACAGATCTGAGGACACTAAGGTTTGGTAGGGCTGTTGATGTCAATGTGTTAGAAGTATCCAGGCTAATGACAGCCAGGGCAAGACCTTTATGCTTTTAGGCTGGTTATTGGTGTTAGAGCCCAATTCGAACCATTTTGGTGTCCCCCAGGATTTTTTGTTGATCAAAATGTATATCACTATAGTTGAACATTTAAAAAAAAAATCCATCCTTTATTATGCAAAATTTTACACAAAATTAAATCAGTTGCCTTAAGTGTAGGTCAAATATTTTCAATTGCAAACGATCCAATTTTTTCAATAAAGTTTAAAGTTTGATTTTAAAAAATTACCAGAGAGCGTTGCAGTTTTCTGTTACATTGATTTACTTTTTAAATAGCAAAAATGGAGTCTTTGTTAAGAGAGTGTCAGTTCTGTGGTCAAATTCCTGTCCTGAGTGATTTCAGCACCAATGATTTCATTAGGTAATATGGTACCTCACCACCATTGTCTCCTTTGAACTGTCCTTCAACACATTGCCTGCATGTTGAGTCCAAGGTCAGTCTACACAAGATTTTATCAATGATTTTTGCTCAAGCGATCACTGAGACAAGACAAGGACTCTCAATTGATTCTAGTCAGCTCTGCCTTTAAACACTGGGGCTGTGTCTACACTGGGCCACTTATTCCGGAAAATCAGCCGCTTTTCCGGAATAAGCTGTGAGCTGTCTACACTGGCCCTTGAATTTCCGGAAAAGCAACGATGCTCTACTGTACAAAATCAGCCGCTATTCCGGAAAAACTATTCTGCTCCCGCT